CTTCTACTTTGAATTCTAACGGGGCCACACAAATCCATATGAATGAGTTCCAATGGTTTTGTGGTGCTTACCATTTTCTTTGATTTAAATGATGATCGAACATGCTTTCCTTTGATGCAGGCTTCACAAATTTTGTCATTTAGGAATTTGATAGAAGGTAATCCGATTACCAAGTCCTTTGACCTTAATTTGTCAAGCAATGAAAGACTAGCATGTCCAAAACGTTTATGCCATAGAAGTGGATCATCCTCAATAACACTTAAACAAGATAGATTGTATTTTGGAACTTTGTTAAGGTCCACGGTATATGTGTTCCCTTTACGAGTTCCTTCCAAAACGATTTTACCAGTGTTATTGTTGATGATTTTGCATTTTTCAGAAGAAAAGCTTACAAAGTTTCCTTTATCACAAAACTGAGAAATACTGAGTAGATTATGCTTCAAACCCTCGACTAAAAATACATTGTCAATTGCATGGGAACTTGACCTTCCTACTTTGCCAACAGCAACAATGTTGCCTTTCTTATTGTCTCCAAAGGTCACTGTTCCCCCTGTATAGGCCGTCAGTGAGAGAAATCTGGATTCATCTCCTGTCATGTGCTTAGAACAACCGCTATCGAGGTACCACTGGTTGTTCCCCCTCACTTCGACCTGCAAAAGAAATTAAGAGTTAGTAGTAGGAACCCTTTCATTCATGGGTTCCTGTGTTGACACATTTAAATCAGATTTCTTCTGCCAAACATAATTCACATTCTTATTGTACAGATTTGCTTTCTTAGTACATTCTTCACTGCGATGTTCCTTTTTACCACAGAAAGAACAAACGGTCTCACTAGGTAAGTTCACATATTTCTTTTTCTTTCCAGTGGACTTCTTCTTATGAACATAGCCTAGACCTTCTGTTCTTTTTGTCTGAGCTTCCTTTACCCACTTGGGAACACCCGTGCTTGCTGTATTTTTACTTTTTCTTGCAATTTCTAGGTCCTTTTCTAGTTTCTCATTTTTATCATTGGTTTCCTTTATCTCTTTCTTAACATGCTCTAGTTCATTATTAAACATGATTAAAGGAACTTCAGTAGACCTGCAAGAATCAATGTTAGTACACAACATTTTATATTGAGTCAATTCAATATTCAGCATGATATTCTCACTCTTGACTCTTTCAAGGGATTCTTTTAGCATAATATTTTTATCTAACAATTCAAAGAATCTGCCTTGAACATCATTTCTTAAGCTATTCAGATACTTAACATGATCTCTACAAATTCCAGTTGCCTTTTCGGCTTGCCTTAGTTTTGCACATAATTCTTTATATTCATCTAAGGTTTCTAACAATAAAGAGATTAATTTATCCTTTGAGAGAGATTTCAAATAATTAGGTTGAATGACTACCTCATCATCATGCTTTGCCATTAGACAGAGATTGGCTACTTCATCGTCTGTGTGTTCCTGTTCCTCTTCTTCGGAACTTGATTCTCCCCACGTGGAAATCATTGCTTTCCTGAAATTTGTTTTAGAAAAGTTAGGCTTGGAATTTCTGCTTTGATCAGCTTCTTTTCCCTTGCCTTTCTCAGATTCCCATAATGGACACTCTTTGATGAAGTGGTTGGTGCTTCCACATTTGTGACAAGAAGACTTGGCTTTGGGTTCCTGATTTCTTTTACTGTATCCTTTCTTCTTGTCTAAAAACTTGTTGTTACGGTAGAATTTTTTCAGCCTTCTCACCAACATTGCAGCTTCTTCTTCATCGATGTCAGACTTCTCTTCGGATTCTTCATTAGCTCTTAATGCTAGCCCTTGACTTTTGACAGTCTCCTGAGTCCGATTGTTCGACTGGATCTCGTGAGTAATGAGGGAACCCGCAAGATGTTCCAGATTGAACTTGGTGAAGTCTTTTGATTCCTGCACCGCTGCAACCTTTGCTCTCCATCTGTCATTGTCTGGAAGACTTCTTAAGACTTTTCTGACCTGCTCATCTATAGGAATTATCTTGCCAAGACACGTTAGTTCGTTAGTAATACCTTTAAATCGAGTAAACATGTCTTTAATGGATTCTTTGTTTCCCATTTCAAAGCGCTCATACTGAGACAAAAGAATGTCTATTTTGGAACGTTTAACATCTGACGTTCCTTCATGTGTAACTTCCAGAAGATCCCAAATTTCCTTTGCGGACTTGCACCCTTTGACACGAGTATGTTCATCGGGTCCAAGTCCCCAAATTAAAAACTTTTTGGCAGTAGCATTCATTTCAAGTTTTTCAAAATCAGTTTTTTCATACTCATCCATAGGTTTAGGGATTACCTCATTATTAGCATTCGTTTTCGTAATTTCGTAATCTCCTACTTGTATAATTCGCCATACCTGATAATTCTCTGCTTGGATAAAGATTTCCATCTTATCCTTCCAATAAGGATAAAATTTGCCGTTGAAGTATGGAGGCCTTTGAATGGATGTACTCCCGAATTCCTTTTCCTCTGTGTAAGCCATTTTCCAGGAACTTACTCAACAGGGTTGCCTGCGTGTTCTGAGTTCCTGCTCTGATACCAACTGAAAGTCTAACTGGCTAATACAAGAGGGGGGGTGAATTGTATTTGAGGTGAAATCTAAAAACTTTTTGCGGAATTTAACTAAATGAAATAGTGACGAGAGAAGATATAGGCTTTTCTAAATTTCCACTAAGTAATCAAACTCTTTACAAGTGAAGATTCAAACCCGTTAACAAGTTCCACAAATTAGGAACTTGTTCCCAACTCTCACAGAAGACTTCAGCAACGAAGCTTCCTTGACCTCACTTTACAAACTCACAATCCCAACCCCTAAGTACTTGAATACAATCTGTGATTACAAATACCTATTGCACTCAAGAATATATGAAGGAAAATAACTCTCTTTATGTTATTAAATGGCTACTGGAATTTTTATGCTCAAGAGTTATGTTTTTCTGAGATAGTTTGCATGAGTATTTATAGAGAAGGCTTAGTCATTAACCTCCACCATAATCACGTCCACATGTCAACAACCCACTAACAACTTGTGGAGTTATCTTGACAGATTGTGATCATGAAGAGGTTTCCTAGCCTTATCTAATTAAACCACTATCCTAACAACTTGATAACCATTAGCCGTATAAAAGATTTTCTCACAGAAAAACCACTTGCTAACTTTATCAAATATTTATTTAAAAGATTATCAAAAGTTTGTTTAAAAAGATTTTATTTGAAAAGATAAATTTATTATTTATTAAAACAACTAGATAATTATCTTCGATAATTATCTTTATTAAAACTTTTACAAATTATCTTTTCTTTAAGAAATTATCTTTTAAAACTAACTTTTATTCCAGTAGTCTTTAACATAAGTCATTGAGTTCCTTTCCGACTTTATATTATTGAGTGCTCACAATTAAAACTAGAACGTGAGATTTGCACGAGGCTTTTTAAAGAATGCTACTCCGCATCCAAGTTCCTACTCCGGAACGAACTTTGCTTGAACCCTTTATTCACCAAAGACTCAAAACATTCATTAGTCGAGTTTGTCAATTTGTCCATCAAAATCAAAAGGCTCAACAGCTTCAAAACAAAACGCTATTTACCGATAAGAATAGGAAAAAGACACTACCTTTTAGAATTGTAGAAGCCGAAGGGGGCGTTAACGAGCCGTAAGAAAGATGAGCAGAGCACTCTTTCCGCCGGCCTTTTAAAGAGTAGGAGAGTGGGGTAAGATAGATAGACGTGCAGCAGCTAGTTGCTCGGCCTTAGTCTTGGGCTGATCTCACACTTCAATAAACCTCTTCGTACTTTGATCCAATCAATCGATCGATCAAGAGACTAATCTCTTTTGTTTTGGCTAGCAGCTTAAAAAAAAAGTCCTCCCTTTCTCTTTTTCAAGGGAAGGACAGCACAGCATTAGCTTCAATTGAAAAGCTCAACTTTCTTTTTCAAGAAAGGCGATGGTAGGCCGAAGAGCCGTTGATGCTTCAACTTGGCCACTGAAGAAGGCGAAGGCTGGGAAAGAGACTGGGCCAACTTACTGCCATGCCATGGTTGAAGCTTTAAGCCCTATACACGGAACTCTTTTTTAGGTATTAGAGGAGAGAGAGGACACCACTCAGCACCTAAGGCAAGGTTCAATGCCTAACAAAAACAAACCTAGAAAGAACAAAAATGGACGGCTGAGAGGAGAAGAAAAAGAAGGCATGCATGGAGATTCTTTCCGTCGGAAATTCGAAAATCTATGAAAAGGCATCTAAGGCAATGAAATTGTTCAAGAAAGTCCATTACTGAGAGAAGTGGTGATCTCGTCTTGCTTGCTGGGAGAGAGGAAGCTTCTGGACCACCTTTTTCAGCCAGATAGCGAGCAATCACTTAGCAATGAACACTAACTGACAGCGGCCGAGAATGAGTGCCTATCCCTTACGGGAATCGAACCCGTGTCTTCGACATTGAAAGACGATGTCCTAACCACTGAATGAAAGGGACCAAAAAGCCATTCTTCATATACCTCAGCTCCGAGAATAGAAGTGGTTCGTTTTGTTCCTATACGCAATTAAAGATTTCGTTTGTGTTCATGTTGGCGATTTCTGATGTGAATTCGGCCTCACGTGAAAGGCCGAATTATTAACAGCTTTGTTACGTACTAAGAGGTTTGTAAAATAATGACGGGTTACAAGTATTTCAGGTTGTCAAATACAGCCTAAGCCAAAAGATGAAGAATATTCTTAGTCAAACTGTTTTATTATAGGCTAATGTCAAAGTGCAATATAACAAGGCAAACAGGCTTCCATTCATCTGACGTTCTATGTGACTGACTATGTGGGTAGCAGTGTCTATTCTATAAGGACATGTCTCGTATCTATCACGTACTTAGACCCATCTTAAACGTGTCGTGTGCACATCTCAAAGTTTCTATCGGTAATTTTCCATGTTGAATTTCTTGTTCAAATATTTTCTTAATAACAAAATAAATGTATTAGTGGTTAAGGTTGCGGGAAAGTTTAAAGGCAAAAGTGATGAACAATACAAACAATTATATATTTGGTAAATACACTAATACATACATCATTAATCATGAATGATAATCTACTAATTTTACAACAAACAAGGTTGCATCACTCTGTATCAAACTGCATAGCAGAATAATACTAGAAAATGCAAAGTGTAATAATTCATCTGTTCATATCATTTTCTTCCTGTAGAAGAGAAGAAGACGGACGTTCAGAGACAAAGGATTTTTGCACTGAAGAAGATGCACCAATGCTGGTACTAACACAAATGCTAGTACATAAATCCACTTAATCTTCCTCATTAGTCTTCAAAGGAGGTGGATTTTCGACAGGTATAACTCCTTCAAGCATTTGCACCACTTTCCCCATCACCGGCCTCTGAGATGGTTGATGTTGGATGCACCAAAAGCCTACTAGAAGAGCTCTCCTAGCTTGCTCCACATCAAACTCTTCACCTAGCCTCTTATCGACTATATTCATTATATTACCCTTCTCGAGCTCTTCATAAGCCCAAATGGAAAATTTTGTCATGTTTGTGTCCACTGAAACTTCAAAGTTTCTCCTACCACTGACAATCTCTAATAAAACCATCCCAAAGCTGTAGACATCAGATTTCGATGTAATTGGCAGATTAGCAAGCCATTCTGGCCCCAAATATCCTCTTGTCCCTCTGAAGGTTGTAAGCTTGCGAGTTTGTTGTTCTTTCTGGTTGATGAGCTTTGCAAGTCCAAAGTCGGAAACTATGGCATTGAGAATATCATCTAAGAGAATGTTCTCCGGCTTTATGTCACAATGAACTATACAATCACGGCATTCTTCATGAAGGTAAGTAATCCCTCTTGCAGTACCAACTGCAATGTTGAACCTTTGCTCCCAATTCAAGTTAAAGGATTGATTTTCCCCTACAAAGAGGAACTTATCAAGGGAACCATTTTTCATGAACTCGTAGACTAGCAGCCTGTGACCGCCTTCAGAGCAAAAACCAATCAGCCTCACCAGATTCAAGTGGTGAGTGCTACTGATAGTCGCGACTTCCATCCTAAACTGCTTCTCTCCCTGCTCGATACCCTCAAGTTGCTTCACCGCAACAGCCATGTTGTAAAGACTTCCTTTGTAAACAGCTCCGAATCCCCCAGCTCCAAGTTTCTCCTTGAACCCTTTGGTTACCCTCCTAAGATCCTTGTATGAAAGTGGCACAGGAGTCCCAGATGCATACTCGAGTAGTGCATAATGAGGAGAAAACCCACCAAGCTTGGGATTATTCCTAAAATACGTCCACCAAATGACACCACCTAATATGAATAACCCAACCAATGTACCTAAAGAAGCAAGAACAACAATTATCCAAGAATGCAGTTTCCAACTTGTAGAATTGCCTGATCCCTCTAGTATCATAGGCAGGTTTGGCTCAATCGGTCCACAAACCTTCACGAATGAACTTCCAGGGATCGTAGGAGACTGATATCCGCTAACAAAACCTGATGTTTTGATATAACAGTATCCTGTACCATCAGCCATGACAGTAGAGGCAACACAACCACTGCCAGAAAGACAATTCAACCTACAAGCTGTAGTACCTAAAATAAATTGTTCAGCAGATGACTCCGGTGGATAGGTCAAGAATCGAGTATGATTCATAGGTAACACGGTCTCAGTCCCGGGACAATCTTTGATCTCAACCTTCCTCTTACAACCTTTCCTACTATCAGTAGGATCGACGAAAAGGAAATTCTTTGATGGACAAGAACAAGTAGGATTACCAGTCACATTATAAGTACAAATTCCCATATTCCCACAGTACCCAAAAACCTCACATTGATCACTAATTCCAGTCCATTTTACAGTAGTAATTCCATTGCTAACACTATAGGTTCTTAGATTTCCATCACTATCCAACTTAAAGAACCTAAATTCATTACCATCATCAAAATCACTACTGTAAGCCATGTTAACTGGATTAGACAAATTAGGATCATAAAGAGATAAAATCCCATTTTGCCTAATTGCTAAACTAGGGTTTGTCAAATTGGAAATAACAGTATTAATACATTTCACCCCATAATTCCAATATAATATGTTATTATTCCACTTCAAAGTTAAATTCCCACTTCTATCAAGACTAAAAGTGTACAACCCAGAAGTTAAAGCATCAGAAACAGTGAAATTTTGAGAAGGAACAAGAGTGTCCGTAAGGTGTTCGAAAGAATGCCACAATGAAACAGAGCCATTTTTTAGTACGAAATTACCAGAATCTTCAAGGGTAGCATGAGTAACTCCGAGATGGGTAGTGTTTGATTGCCATAAAAATTCGCCGTAGCCGTTAATTAGCCGGAGATTTCCGTCTGAAAGGAAATGAAAAGAGGAATTTCCGTCGGTTTTTCCGGCGGGTTCCCAGATTGAAACGGATCCTCCATATGCAATGCAGAGAGAGAAAGTGGTCGGAGTCATGGGAAGAAAGAGGAGAGAGAAAGTATTTCTGGGTGATGACCATTTTTGGTTTTTACTCGAAGCATAAAGAGAAGAGCCTGGAAGAATATCAGCTGCAAAAACAGAGGATGATGATAATAATGGAATGAAAAACAGAGGATAAAAAATCAGAAAATTTCTGATATTCATTTTTATGTTTTTGAAAAGTTGGTTTCTCAATCACAAGAAGTATCAATTCAGCATTTAATCTTGCATTAATGACCCCCAACTGTTTTTTGATGTATAGAGAACTACTCGTATAAGGAGCGACAGTAACAGTAACGTAGACGGGTTTGATCTGAGGTCTCGACATCGACATTTGCCAAACTGTAATATGTTGTTGGAGTTGAAGGGTAAAAGGGTGGCAGTACTCGAGGCAAAGGAAAAGTAAGCCATAAAAAAGGACTAAAAAGGATAAAATGTTTTGTTTGTTTTCTCAGGTGTTCTGTATATTTTGTTGACAAATACAGCGGGAAATGGAAAACATAGTAAGAAGAAGGTGATGGAACCTTAGAAGTGAGACTTTTCAAGACCGTGGGGATTGGGGAACCTTCTTTTGACTATTCTAAATTTTTTAATATCCTCGTGTTCCTTTCTTTGATTTTTTAATACAATAATTTCAATATCGTGACCCGATTATACGGTAATTTTATTGTACAATGTTCAACGTGTATTTCAATCTGTAATTTTTTAAGGGTTAATAGCTTTATAAATGTAGTGTTATGATGGATTTTAATATGAAGTTTATAATAAATCTAAATTAAACAAGAGTAACTAAAAAAAAAAAACTGCTTTTAGAGTTTTGATCATTTTTACAATTCTCAACTATTTTATGTGTTATTAGACATGTTTTTAGGGAAGGTAATCGAGCTACCAGTGACCGCGTTAGAAATCATAAAATAAATCGGTCACTCTATAACCTTTAATTATTTTCGGAACCTAGCTAGAAGTCCTTTTCTATATGAAAAACCAAAGAAGGCACAATTTGCTAAAAAAAATCAAACTCTTATTCCAAAATTGATCATGTACAACGACTTAGAACAAAACTGCTTAGGGAAAAAAAACATAAAGCGAAAAAACGAACTAAAAGAAAGTTAAGCTAGAAACTGAAAGATAGTCTCTGATCCTAAATCTTGATCTACGTCTAAGATAAAGTCTCCTCCTAATTATGGTTCTTGCCTGAGATCAACTCCTTAACATTAACCGGACTAACTTCGGTAGTATTAGCCGAGTCGAAAGCCTTGCTAGCTAAGTAGCAATTTGCTGCTTCAGTAAGATGAATTCCATCATAGTACAAATACTCATTTCTGTTTAGACATGTTTTACCAGCCTTCTTACAAGTACCTCCTAGGTTGGTATCACAGCACGCGCAATTACAATTCTTAAATCCTGCTGCGGCTGCTGTTGCATTGTTAGTTATAATATCTGAGAGAAGCTGGAACGAGTTAAGGACTGAAAATTCAGCATCAAGAAAGTTTTGTTGCTGATGCTTAAGCGCGATTTGTAGTTGGTCGTAAAACATTGCTGATGCATCGTTTAGAAATTTTACGCATTCTTTTCTTTCCTGTACTATGCCAGGACCACATCCTAGTGGATATGTTGAGATCAATAGGAATTTTCTTGCTCCCAATTTGTACAAGTCCTGCAATATTAATTATATAAAACAAATTAATAAGGTGTATTTTAAAGTCAACTAAATGGATGAATATGATGAATTTTTTATTAAATGGAGGGTTGAGATTCACTCAGTGGCCATAATTTTATTGTAGCCATTTGAAAACTGTCCATAAATTGTAATAAACTTGTAATGTAACGAACAAGCTAAGTCCTAACTTTATATATTATTACATGCGCGCATGTATATATATATACGAAGTATATGTGTTTTTATCTAGGATCGATATGCTTACTGTGATGTATTCAACGTATTGCTTGACGAGATTGGCAGCAAAAACTTCGGGAGTTATGAATAAGTATTGCTTCAATATGTAATACGAAGAGTAATCGTTGTTTCCTGCTCCGATCACAAACAAATACCGAGGAAGTATGACTTCTCCACTGCATCCTAGCATATCCTTCAACTTTGGCAGAATATTGTTCTTAAATCTGTTTATTTGTTGGTCCATATGTTGAACTCCCTGTATTATTAGATGACATTGTATGTAATAAGATGAGTGTATCGATCACATTTTAATACAATTAGTTAAAGATATGGCATGACCATCAAACTAAATTAGTTGACATTTGTATGACAAGACAAATTAAACTAAATAAATGAATAAATATGTGTTATCATATTGAAATACTTAGGAAAAAAATAAATTGAAACTTACTATTAAGAGTCCACCGGTAATACCGAAAATGCCAGTGCCAGAGGAGCCAAAGTTGATACCATCAAGAAGAGGGGTACCCTTGTGGAAAAAATCCGGGTAAGGTGGAGGAGATTGAAGTTTAAGGTTATCCGCGACACAATCAACAATGGTCTTACCATTGCTAAACCTGCCCGTAGGGCCGAATGGGAAATCAACACCATAGGGCATGTAATTGCTCTTTAGGTGAATTGTAGGAATGTTATTGTTGTTCCCATTGTCAACGACGTCGTCTCCAAATGCAAATATCCCCTTTAAACCAGTGTTGTTATCACAAGCTGATGAGCACCTTACTACAAGCAAAAAAATAGAGAGAATTATGCACAATAGCGAACTTTTAGCCATGGTACGTACGTATTTTTTCGCTTTTCGAGTGCTCTTAAGGGGATACTAGAGAAATGGAGAGCGGGGAGACGATGTATGTAACACTATTGAGCAGAAGTGATTGTGTGATTTGTGAAAACAAAGGAGGTATGATTTTACAGTGTTGCATGGTAACTGAATTGAGATTGTCTTGGATCTTTAACTAATGAATTGAAATTGTCTTCCTAGTAATTTGTTGTACAATTGCTTTCCTAACCATAAAATTGTCCCACGTATGTTTATTTTTGTAAGTTATTTTTGAAGAGTTTTTGCCACAAGAAGTGCTACAAATTCATAATTGAGATCTTGATTTAAGGACATGATATTTGAAAATTGAATAATTAAGCAAAATATATACGAGGATCATAAATAAGGTTGTCCAAAACTTAGGAGTCCGTCAAAATTATGAGCATGCACGCAAATTGATGATGATCCTCCTTACCAATACAATCACTCATCCCCAAGATGAAAATAATTTTATCACGGTTCGGAGTATAAGTTTCTAACACATTTAATTCCCATAACACATGCATGTTAATTGTAAGCTATAACTTACATTTAAAAAGTTTTACTCTAGTCGTATCACTAGTATGCTACGGAGTAGAAAATATTGATAAAGTGGAATTTTTTTTTTTTTTTTTTTTGAGGGAAATACTTTAGATATTACTGTACAATCTTATACGTTACGAAGTATAAGTGATACTCCATACTTTTTTTCTTTTTTTTGAAGGAAAGTGATACTCCATACTTCATCCCTCTTAATTTTGGACAAAGTAAATGTTGCTTAGATGAGACTAACAGTTTACATTATGATTAGTTCCTCCATTTTGTTTAGTTGTACTATATATAGACTATGTTCCTCCATTTTGTTTAGTTGTACTATATGGACTATGACGACATTATTTACGTGCCTCACTTTAACATTCATTAGCTATTTTTGTACAATGAATAATTATCACAGTTTGACTTTTTGCACCATTCATCTATTAGCTTTGATTGTAAATTTATGAAAATGAAATTGCTATTTAGAGTCTGGACATAGTATATGCTTGTGTTTAATTAGTAGGTTGAGTTATGTCTCAAATAATGATAATGTGTGAATACACGCACCCAAAAAAAAAATTACTACATAAAAAAACTAAATGATAATGTGCATGAATGCATGCATGTGAGTCGTAGATAATATTACAGGGACAATTTTCATTTTCATGGCTTTAATTTTGTAAGCAATTAATACATATATTCTAAAATAGTTGGTCTTTTTTTTTTTTTTCGATTTGTTTGGATGAACTTTAATTTACTATATAAATCAAACGATATTATAATGGAAAATTGTAATCTAATAATCCCACCTTTAGTCGGTCTTCCATAAACAATCCCACGTTTTGAAATTCCAGAAATAATCCCACTTTTGATCCTCATCTTCCACTAACGATCCCACTGACCTACAACTTGTTAAGCAGGTTATTTTATTTATTTATTTATCTATTTTTTTTAACTATACTCCTTCTCAAGCCACCAGCCCAACCACCACCCAACACTCACTCCTTACCGCCACCCCCACCACCAAGCCACCACGAACTCACCAACCACGCCGGAAAATCCAATAACCATCCCCAAAACCCAACCCCCACCACGAAAACAGAAACCTAAACACAAAGTTTGGTAATCTCAAAAGTTGTTAGGTTGATAAAATCAGAAATGGAGAAGGAAAGAGCAACATCAACAGCAGCAGCAGAGGAATTTGATTACGACGATGAAGAAGAAAAGAAGATGGACAAGTTTTACGAATTAATTAGAAGATTCAATGAACCTCGAAATCATCATCAATTCCGCCATCAAAATCAACCTCAATTGAATCGCAATAATAATAATAATAATAATAATCAGATGAAGAATAAGAGTGATGTGAATTTGAATTATAATTATAAAGGTTCTGCTACAGATACTCGGACAACCTGGATGCCTTCCTTCAAATGGGAGGATTTTCGACAGGTTCTTTCTCATCAGAATCAGCAGGAGAGTGATCGAGATCGACAGCTGCCTGTTTCTTCTGAAAAATCTGCAATTGATTTTCTGCAACCTCATCCAGAAATATCCAAATTTGATGATTATAATATCAACAATTTGAAGAAGAAGAGGAAGATGGATGACGTCAATGATGACGATGATGGTGAGATCACCACCGCTGATCATAACAAACATTCAAGTCCCAGATTGGACCTCAATCTTGCCCTCTGATTTAACCAATTAATTTAATCCTTAATTAGATTTTGGATTAATTAGGCCTTTTTTTTTTTTGAAACTCAATCCTCAGCCACGAAATACTCCACCCTAGCCACGAAATACTCTACTCCGACCCCGTAAAACGTCACCCATCGTCTCCAATTCGGTTTTTGGTTTGAAATTAAACGCAAATTATTATTTCAATCATCTGAAAAATCGAATTGAAAGGGAATGAATTGATGAATTCAGAGAAGAGAGAAAGAGCAGGAGAAGGAGAAGGAGAAAGAGGGGTTCTGGGCTGCGAATTGGGTTGGGTTTTAGGGGAAGCTAGGTGGCTGCAGGAGCTGATTTCGGGCTACAGGGGTTGGGTTCCGGCGCCTTGAAGGGGTAGGTTGGGTTGCCGGGGAAAGCAAGGGTGGGGATGCGGTGGCGGGATGGGGAAGGGATACGGTGGTTGGGCTGGGGGTTTTGGTTTTGTTTTTTTTATATTATTTTTTTATTAGTTTTGTTTTTTTTTAAAAAAAAAGGTTAAACCTATTAAAACCTGACACGTGTCTTATAACCTATGAAAACCGGTTATCAAAACAATCCAATCGGTAAAGAATTGTTAAGGGAAGATGGGGGTTTAAGGTGGGATTGATTCTGAAATTTCAAAAGGTGGGATTGTTTATGGAAGATCGACTAAAGGTGGGATTATTAGTTTACAATTTTCCTATTATAATTAAAAAAAATTTACAGTATGGACTACACATTCAAGAGAAAAAGGGGGATCGGAAGATCGAAGCACAACTATTGTTGCAAAAATTCCAATATGTACAAACTCTTATTTGAACTCATGCATAAAAATGTCACGAAATAATGATTAGAAGAAAAAAATACAAGAGAGCAAAGGCAAGATTGGTCTTAAAATTGGACCAACTTTTCAAGATTAACAGGAAAAACTTCAGAGCTATCAATGGAATTGTAAGCTTTAGTTGCAAGGATAGCATTGGCAGCTTCGGTAAGGTGCAAGCCATCAAAGTAAACGTATTCGTCCCTCTTTGGGCAAACTTTACCCTTCTTCTTGCAAAGACCTCCCAGCATGCTAGTATCACAACAAGTAAAATCCACATTCGTGAAACCTGTGCGTATTAATTCACCTAGTTACAACTTATTACAACTACAAACTACTCAAAACTCTATTTTGGAAGTATGATATAGATGCGCACGCACGCACAATTAGTTAGTTATATAGGTTAATTATCCTACCACGTACATCCAAATGATCATTTGAAAATTTGAAATGTACTATTACCTCCGTTTTCACATTTTTTGCAACTTTGGGTATTATTTGTGAGATATAAAATATTTCAAAGTTACAAAAAAATATGAAACGGAGGTAGTAAATTTAATTTGAAGTACAAGTATATGCTAACACATGATATACGCATAATTTTGTCAAAGAAGTTTGATTTAAACGGTAGATCTTGTTAAAATCTGAATTGATGTATGTACTCGTAATACATACACAAAATGTATAATTCCTTAAAGGGATACGGAGTAGATAAGTACCTGATGCGTTCGCATTTTGTATCATGCCGGTGATGATTTTGGCCGAGTTGACCACAGAAAATTGAGCAGCAGGCATATGTTGGTCAATCTTATGTTTAACCATAACCAACAATTGATCATGATATAAATAAACAGCTGCATTCAGTTCTTTTACGCAATTATCTTTGTTTTTGGCTAAAACTGGATTGCACCCAACTGGATACACAGATAACAGTAAGAATTTCCTAGCTCCCAAATCGTATAACTCCTGTAATAATATGATTACACACCAACATATTACCTACTTAGTTATCATAAGATAAATAAATTATTTATTTTACATTATTATGGCTTCTTTAGTTTGGTCAGATGTACATATGTTACTTTTATAAAGACTATATTACGTAGTGGGAACCTTTTATGAATAATTTCATTTGGCAGGTGATAATAAATGATCATGTATGTTAGTGAACAATACCTTGAGTTGAGCAAGCAAGTTACTGATAAGCTTAGCAGCAAAGACTTTGGGGGTCCAAATGATGTTTTGGTGCAAGAGGTAATAGGAAGAGTGATCGTTATTTCCAGCTCCCACCAAAAACAAGTACTCAGGAAGTATTTTGTGTGCTTTACGCCCAATTTCCGTCTCCAATTGAGGCAAAATCTTGTTCCTAAAATTCTTAATTTGATTGTTCATACTTGTAACACCCTGTTTATTTAAAGCAAAGATATATTTGTAAAACAGAGAAAATACAGGGTCCATCAATAATATTAACTCAACGTCCCAGGCAAAAAGGTTACAAAATAATGATACATGAGTAAATGTCATAATGTAATTAAATGACTCACAACTCACAAGTCACCAAAATCACAAGAGTCATGTCATAATGTAACTACTTATATGTACGGTAATTTATAAAACTTAGGTTGTTACTTAAGTTATTACTTCATCCATTTCAAAATAATTGACACACTTTGATTTTTTTTTTCCCACTATTATTAATTTAATATTACTCGGCAATACATTGGTCTTTAAACATGATTAGCTTACTTAAAGTCAATTTCTTCCTTAGTTGGTTCCTTCTTAAAAATGAATTTTAACTAAGATCAACTATTTTTACTCTATTTAAAAATCATTGCATGATAAATGGGTCAACTACTATACTCCATAATTTACGAATAGTTGTTAATCAATCTTAAGATGAACAAGGAATAAATAATTACAAGTCGACTTCTACATTTTCATTCAATCTTAACATTCATACAAATTTTTAAATTAATTTTGATTTTTTGGCAAAAACATTGAAATAGGTTCATGCAAAATAATTTTGATCTTACACTCCAAGAGTTTATATATTATTGTGGTGAATCAATGCAATTTCAATTATAATTTCAAAGCATTATTGATAGCTAAAATATACAAAACTTGAAGAATTTCAATAGAGGAAATTAATTAAACTCATTATTAGAATCTAGCTAGTATGTGCCCTAATGTGTTCTTTTATTGGTGGGAGTGCAATGCAAGAATTAAATTAAACCATGACAAATCAAAATTCCTTTAAAAAGAAATTATAATGTTTACCAGTAAAACACCAGTTACATCGAGGATGCCCGAACCACCGGACCCGAAATTAACACCATGAACAATAGATTTACCCTTAGTATTAGGATCAGAGAAGGGTGGAACAATAGGAAGCTTAAGGTGATCAGCAATAAGATCGGCTACATTCTTTCCATTCGAAAATCGGCCGGTTGGACCCAATGCAAGATCAATACCATATGGTAAATAATTGGCCTTGGCAAAATTACCAAACAAATTATTGTTGTTTCCATTGTCAACAATTGAGCTGCCAAATATGAACATTCCCCGCAAACTACTTCCATTGATTAAATTTGTTGGCGAGGCGTCGACGACGACATTGCTATAGCTAGCTAATACAGAGAAAGAAAGGGTGATGAAGAGATTTATGGAAATGGAATTGCTATTTGGAGTTCTAGACATTCTATATTTGTGTGTTTTAGGATTGTTGATTTATGTCTCAAAAAATTATCATGTGCGAATAAACACATAACCTTAACCTAATTATTATTGGTACATCTCTGGTTTTGGCTTTCGTCAATGGTACACCTTCTCTTTATCAAGAGAATTGGTAGAGTGAACCTTTGCATTTCCCTTTTATGGGCACAATTTACATTTGCATGGTTGTATTTATGTGAGCACTTAATACATTTATTCTAAGATTGGTGTCCTTATTCAATAATGTTTGTCTGGATTAACTTTAACTTTGACAATACATTTCTCTCAAACATACTGTATGTAATAATACTACTTTATGTTTTTTACTTTCTTTTTGGGATCAAGTCTAGTAATATTTTTAGCAATGTGTAATGGTTGAATAGAAAATAATGATAAAGATGAAACCTTAAAAATAGGAACTTACAACTATTTAGAGACAGAGGAAAATGTTGGAAAATGACAGTATCAATGTATCATGCTTGTTTGGTAGATTTAAATTTTGAGAATTGCTATACACAGTTTGGATAACCTTAAGCGGTTGAGGGTTATGGTACAAGCTAGCCTGTGGATATATAGTAAAATCAAGCGTCATTGGTGTTTTAAAATACAATTAGTTAACTAGCTCTTCTTTTAACAATTTTATATTCACAATTCTTAGAGTTTCGTTTAGTATTTTCTTCTAATGTTGTATTAAATACTCCGTATGACCGTATTGAGTATTGACTAGCAATTTTACTACTATACTTACGTTAATTGATTCAACTTGATTTGGAACTTCAAATGTATTTATTTCGACAAGTTTCTTTACCAATACTACTACTATCATTTATACTTTATGAGACAATCATATTTATGTGAAAATAAATAAATATAATACCAAAAAAGGAAAGGAGATTATGTGACATGTTGAGTTAGCTCGAGATTGGCAGTTGGATTCCACTCCATATAATTAGCGATCGATATAATTGCGCCATCTACTGTGTGTCTCTACTCTCTAGTGATGTTCAACACTTCAAATTTGATGCCGCAAAATTGGCTTATGGACCGAAAAAAACATAGAAAAAATGTGTTACTCATTATAGGTTTTGGAATTCGTTTAAATTTGTAATTTTTTTATCATGGGCATACAATAAAAAATTAAAAGTTTCCTCTTTATTATGTTATAAGAAAAATATTATACATACAAAACAAGGAAGTTCATAAATTTTCCTCCAAATACCTCCTATACTTATTAGAAAAAGAAAAAAAAAACTAGCAAATAAAATTAATTACTTTATAATGCGAAGGGACTATTCCATAATTATAATTAAAAAGATACAAAAGCCCTAAATTGTCGAGTTTTTGTACATCGTTCTAGTTTAGAGGTGGGTTTGAGCAAGTTCATGAAGATTGATAGGATAGGCTTCGGACTGGTAGCGAGAAGTATAAGCCTTATTTGCTATGACAGCGCTTAGAGATTCTGTGTTGTGTTGGCCATCAAAGTAAACATAGCTACTCCTGTCATCACATACATTACCATTTTCTTTGCAAGACAACCCATTTAATGAAACTTCACAACAAGGGCCACTCACATTACTGAAACCTACACAAATTGAAAATATATACCAATCATTAATAATCGAGCTTATTATTATAAGCCATATTATGTTCGGCAAAATTAATTGTTATCACTAATCTGAGATAGAAATTGTACTAATTACCTGTTGAATTCGCGTTGTTTATAATGTCTGTAATGATTTTCACTGAATTGATGACAATAAAATTAGAACCAGGCAATTGGGGTTTGACCTGATTGACCATAGATATCAACTGATCATAAAATATAGTAATGACAGCATTTGGTCCTGGTAAGCATCCTTGGCCTTTGCTCACAACAGGGCTGCATCCTAAGGGATACACTGATAGCAGTAAAAAATTCCTTGCTCCCAAGTTGTATAATCTCTATTAAATATCAAATCGCGTTAAAAGTGCAACAAAATCAAAATAATTAGCCAAATATCGACATATACTCCTTCCATGTATCTGGAATTAGTTGTCACGTTAAAAGTATAAAATGAACTAGTAAGGTGACAATCAAACCTGGCTACGCGGTATTATGGTTTACCTTGAGTTGAGCAGAATAAGCAGAGATAAGTTTTGCAGCAAAGGCTTGGGGAGTTTGAGTAAGCTGTCCTAGTAAAAAGTAATTTAAAAGGTAGTCATTGTTTCCAGCACCAAGAAGAAACAAATAATCAGGGAGTATCTCTGTTCTTTGACATCCAAGCTGGATTTCTAATTTTGGCAAGGTCACTGCTTCAAAATTTGTAATTTGCTCATTCAAGCTGATCACCCTCCCCTGTATTATTTCAGAGTTTGTGACTTCTTTTGTTTGTGTAATAAATTAACTATTGACTGTTAGCTGCATATATTGATAGTAAATTTTCTCGGATTATTTCTTTTGATAAGTTAGGATATAATATTATCGTATGGAGACTTAAGAAACGACTTTCAAACTATTATTTATGTTTCTTTGAAAAAAATTTGATGGAAGAGCATAGACAAATTTAGAGTTTTTTAAGCATATCAATTTTTGGTAAAAAGTTTACATGGACGTTGCAGCTTGTCATGCTTACAACCTTTAAACTTAATTGATGTAACATGTGAAATCGTCACGTTGCTAGTTCTTATCATGTGCATATTATTGAAATGATAGACACTATGAACATGGAAAAGGAGGTGGTACTTAAAAACAGAATAGTTGGATAAACAAACAATTCCCTACTTTTCCTCCTATAAAATAAAGTGACGCAAAACAATTCAAATATAGTTAACTTATTTTGGGGTGTTGTTACTTATTACTAGTAGATGACTAGCACATTATCAAACACACTAGCACACGCATTACATCATTACGTGACTATGCTTATCTTGTTTACGCGCACCATATATAACTTAGATAAATACTCTGCAATTGAATAGTTTTATATAATACTTGTATATATATAGAAAAAGTATAGAACTTAGATTTAGTAAAATGAGCGAGTTAATTATATTTACCGCAACTAGGCCAGATTCATCTAGAATGCCGGAGCCGCCGGAGCCGAAGTTGACACCGTTAAGGATTGCATCCCTTTGAGTTTGAGTATCAGCAAAGCATGGAATTAGAGGAAGCTTAAGATAATCACCGATAAAATCAGCAAAATTTTTCCCATTTGAGAATCTGCCCGTCGTTTTTGTTGCACCATTTATACGAAAATCTATACCATATGGTAAATAATTGGCCTTGGCTAAGGTACCAAAAACATTGTTATTGTTTCCATTGTCAACTACTGAACTACCAAAAATGAATATTCCCTTAAAACCGCCTCCGTTTTTAGGCTTGTTTTTTGCATTGCAAAAACAAGCAAATGCAAAGAAACAAAGGGAGAAAATTCTCATGTTATTGCTTATATATATAGCCATGGAATTTAATTACTTAATAAATTTGCTATTTTGATGTATATTTTGATGAAATGAGAGAGAGGTATATGTAGGAAGATTGATCATTAAATCTTGGAAAGTGGAAAAATCAATGACTCAATTTTTTAAAGATTTAATTTAATGCTTAGATACCCTTTCCTTCACCAGGAAAAAAAAAAAAAAAAAAAAAAAGGGAAAAAAAACAATTTTTTTTTTTATAACGATGTGTTGAAATTAATGATCAAAACATTCATTGGAAAAGACAATATTTAATTCATGATTTATCAAATTTAAAATATGGATTATATTTGGGTACTACTTCCTCATTATTAAATGGTGTTGTTTTTTTTGACGAAATACGGTATGGCGTTATATATAATTAATAGAAGTATACTGTTATACTCGTATTATGCTTTGCTAAGCTAGTATGTAAGACAGGAAAGAGGTCTTAAATATAACCTTTAATAAATTGGCAAGTCGTCAGAATTCGGCGGATGAATTATCCTTTTTTTTAGATTTTGGAGATTAAGTAGTTGGGATTTCTTACGAAATTATGAAGAAAAAAATTAAATATTGATCCCATCTGTTATTCATAATGGATAATTTGAATAATTCTATTAGCTAATAATCTAATACAAGTTGGGCACAATTGGCTTTATCTAAATATTTTATGTATTATGGTATAACTAATTGCATGTGATGATGTTTCTTTATAATTTATAAGCAAAATAATCTTTCTTACTCCGCCATAGAGAATATATCCTAAACTAATGACATAGAATTATCTTACTATAATCTATATCACTCCGATCAAATATATACTATCATATCTCAAATGAGTACATGAGGATTAATTATATAGGTTGTCATCATCTCATCGAGTGACGAGTATGGTATAAAATGTCCCTCCGTTTCTTTATAATTGCAACACTTTCCTAAAATAGAAATGTCATAATAGTTGCAACACTCTAAAAAAAAAAGGTTTTTATAAAGCTCATGGGCCACTTGATTATGCTCCTAACACTACAAAAATTTGGCCTTTTAGCGACGGGTGAAATCCGTTGCTAATTTCTAAAAATCCGTCGCTGGACATAGCTAGCTACGGATATATCAACAGAATCACTCTGTTGGTAAAAACCTTGTCGCTAAATGGATTTAGAGACGGAAAAAAAAATACATCTCTAAATTTAGCAACGGAAAAAAAATATTTTGGCTCTAAAAGTAGTTGCTATTCGGTTCAACCTCACTCGGGTCAACTCGACTCGGCTTTGCATGTAAGACTCCTTGAATCCCCAATCCCAAGAATTGCAATTGGTAGGAGTCGAACTCGTGACCTCAAAGTCACATAGTGAAACTCTTACCAACTATACCAAATATTATTTATTTACTTCTACGCATATAATTGATAATAAGTGAAAGAAATACTAGAGACGAAATTTAAAGTAATATTTAGAGACGGATTTGAAACGGATTTTCAAATCCATCTCTAGTTTAGAGACGGATTTGAAAATCCGATTCTAGTTTAGTTTACATAATTCCTCTCTAAAGTGATATTTTACCTAATTCGTTTCGAAAATAATTTAGAGACGGAATTAAAAATTCGTTGCTCATATCAGCAACGGAAAAAAAAAATCCGTCTCTAATTTAGCAACGAAAAAAAATCCGTCACTAAATTTAGCAACGGAAAAAAAAATCCCGTTTCTAATTTAGAGACGGATTTTCAATTCCGTTTCTAATTTAGAGAAGGATTTTTAATTCCGTCTCTAATTTTGAGGTGGATTTTTTAATTCTGTCGCTAAATTAATTTAGAGACGGATTTTTTTAATTCCGTCTCTAATTTAGAAATGAATTGAATTCTGTCGCTAGAATTTCGTTTCTATATGGACATTTTTTTGTTGGGTAACAACCTCTTAACCCCATTTTAAGTGTATTATATCATGTGAGGTCTACTTTTCTTAAATACCGTAATAAAGTGTGTTGCAACTATAAAGAAATGGTAAGTATATATTTTCACTGGATAAGCACAAATTGTAGCTGATTGGTAAATTCGTTAGCTTGAAACATAAAATTTTTATTTATATCATGGAAAAAAATGGGAATTTTAAGTGTTTAACCCACAACAAGGAGTTAGTATTATATACTCCTGGAGTACTATGGATCATGGTACTCCATACCCAATAAGCTTGAGTTATTTTGCCTACACTTTATGTTATTTTGCTTAAATCTCATGTTACTTTGCTAAAACAATATGTTATATACTTATTTTTTGCTAAAACAATATGTTAATATATATAATTTTTTGTTTTCAAAATCAACTTATATGTATTCTCACTCCTTTGAGAAAATTAAATATTACATAAAAACTATTATTAAGAGTATGGAAGATTCAAACTAACTGAGCTTTATACAGTGAAATGATCGATGTTGAATATAAAAAACAACATGCATGTATAAAATAACATGTACTTATTTAAAAATAACATATATATAAATTGAAATAATAAGAAGTTCACATCAAAATAACATGAATTTTATAAACCTGAGAAATGATCGATATGATGTTGAATATTAAAAAACAACATGCATGTATAGAATAACATGTACTTATTTAAAAATAACATATATATAAATTTAAATAATAAGAAATTCACATCAAAGTAACATGAATTTTATAAACCTCGAGTACCTTGCGCATGGTACTTCAAGAGTAAGATAGAAATTGCGCACAAGAAGAACATCGATCAATATAGATCATTGAGCCAATAATGTCAAATAAGAAAGAGGAACAATGATGAATCTCAAATCAAACAAAAGGCATAATTTGTAGAGTTTAGAACTAGCGCAAATTCGAGTGTTGGTGATAAGAAAGTCGGTAAAAAGATTAACAAGAAAGACTTCGGACTTGTCACGAGAATTATAAACCTTAGCTGCTAAGATAGCGCTTGCAGATTCTGTGTAGTGAATGAGATCAAAAAAGGCATAGCGTTTCCGGTCATCACAGGTGGTGCCATTAACCTTGCATGACGATCCATTTGATGTAAGTTCGCAACAAGGATCATTCACATTGCTCAAACCTACGCACAATATTTGACTTTTTAAGATAGCTAAGAAATAAGAACTTATATGAGACAAAGATTGTACAAATTATCTGTTGAATTCGCGTTGTTTAGAATGTTTGTGATGACTTTAACAGAATTGAGGATTATAAAATCTGAACCAGGCAATTCGTGTTTCATCTGTTTAACCTTGGAAATTAACTAATCATAAAATACAGAAATGTAGGCATTTACTTCTGGTAAGCATCCTCTGCCTTTGCTTACTACAGGGGTGCATCCTAGGGGATGTGTTGATAGCAATAGAAAATTCCTCGCTCCGGCCTTGTATAATCTCTATCGAGTATCAATTCACCAAATTACATAGGAAAAATGACAATTAGACAGTAATCAACAAATACTCCTCCCTTCCAATTTCCAAAATTAATTTTCATTATTAAAGGACTATCTCAACCAAAAGCTTAAGCTAGTGGTTGAGGCCCAACGATATATTTTATACTCTATCACGCCCTCTCACATGAGAGTCCTTTGGGCTTGAAATGTAGATGCAACATGGGCCCTTCGCATACCCTATAAGGGGTCGTTTGGTTCGCACGGGGTAAATGGAATGGAATGAACAAAGGGAATGGAAAAGAATGGAATGAAAATACCTTATGTTCTTTATGTCGTTTGTTTTAAAAACAAAAGGAAACAATTCCACCACCACACCACCACCACACAACCACCAATTAATTCACTTTCCACCTTTTCCAGCCACCATCCAGCCACTATCCATCCACCAAACCACTCGCCACACCTCCCTAACCATTCGCCGGCCCTCCCCTGCCCCTCGCCGGTTGCCGCGCAACTCTTCCCTCCCCCAAAAAACATCCCTTAGCCCCGAAAAACCCTAGAAACATCCCTACGAATAAGATGGAGGGAATGGAGGAATTCGACAGATTATCTTCCTCCTCTACGAATAAGATCCCGCGGTTGCGGCTTTTTCTGTTTCCGGATACGAATGAAGGAGGAGTTTCTAGAACTTCGAGTATTGCGTCGCTTCTAGATGGTTCTAGGAAGAAGGAAAATTGGTTTCTCGACGCTTTAAACGGCGGTTCTACTGGCGGCGGATTGGAAAGAGGAGAAGTGTCGTCGATTGTTTCGGAAGTTCCAGATTATTTATTCGGGAATGATTTTTGGGTGAGAGGAGGGGCGGCGATGTTCCGGTGAGGGGTGGTGAGGGTCGGGGGATGGCGACGACATTCCGGTGAGGGGCAGCGACGTTCCGGCGATAAGTGGGTGAGGGTGGCCGATGTAGGTACGGTGGTGGTTGGGGAAAGGGAATGGGAAAGGCTAGGGGGTGGGGAATGGGAGTAGAAGGTTTTTGGGTAATCAAAGGGGAAAGGGAATGATAGAAATGGAAAAAAAAAAAAAACAACAACAACAACAACAACAAAGGGAATGATTCCCATGGATTCCCATTCCATTTGATTATTATTGTGAACCAAACGGCTCCTAAATATTGATTAATGGAAATCACTCTAATCAAGGAGTTTTCTCGAAATTTCACATTCATAGTTAAAGTGTAACACAATATATATAGCAGATTGAATAGTGTACAATTTTATGGTTTATATGGACATGTTGAGTTGAACAGAATAAACCGCGATAAGATTTGTAGCAAAGGCTTTGGCAGATTGAGAAGCGTTTCCGAAGGAAAGTAAATGAAAAGAGTAGTCATTGTTTCCAGCAGCTACCAAAAATAAATAATCAGGGAGTATCTTACTTCTTTGACGTCTCAATCGGCTTTCTAATTTTGGCAAGATCACCCCTTCAAAGTTTGTACTTTGCTCATGTAAGGTGATCACCTTTCCCTGTATTATTCATAAGACAAAGGATAATCGAAATGAGTTTGTGAGTTCTTCTGTTTTACTATTCTAACTTGACCCGACACCTATGTAAGTCCAACTCAAAAAGAAAGACCGACTATACAATTAATTCGTCTCAAATTAATTAACTTGACATAAACAACTCGTTTGCCTAGTCTAAGCCCACCATATGCTTTATGCAAAACCCAACCCAAAAAGAAAGAAAAACTACAAATATATGATTCGTCTCAAATTAATTAATCTA